TAGTCTTTTCCTGTGAATTTTCTATACATGTATGATTTTCAGAACATGTTTGATCATTTTTAGTGTCATTATCCTCTATCATATTTCTTACTTCGGGGAGTTTTATTTCTTCTTTTGAAATTTCCGTTGAGACACTTGTCATCTTCAATCCTTCATTTCTTTCCTTTGCTTTAGATTTGAGTATTGATGGAAGTTGGTCAAATCGGAATTTATTTGGCTTCTGTTTCCTTAACTTCTCCTCTTTTTCACCGAATCTATCATAATTTATAATAATTTGTTCTTCTTTTTCGCCTACTGCAGGTTTCGTGTTATTAATTGATCTCGCATTTTTATTAACTTTCGAATTCTTGGTCTTCTTTGATTTCTTTTTACTCGGCTTTCCATCCTTCTTCGATAATGCCTCTTTCGGTTGTACATTTTTTCCCTTTGTTTCTTGGTGCAATTTCGTGCGTGATTCTTTTGTGGGCAATGTACACCTGACACTGTCCGACACTTTCGGTAAGGACATCGATATCGAGTCTGATTTTGTCAACAAGTTAGAACTTTTAGTTGTCTTCGACACCTGGTTGATTTTATCTTGATTTCCAGTGCCAGGCAGAGATGCAAAACTGACGTCAGTCTTGTCTTTTATAATAATATCTGGTAGAGTAACACTTTTCTGTGTATTTTCACTAGTAATGTGCTCATTGTTTTCTGTCTCATTAGATGCAAAGCAATTTTCAAAATTTTTATCTGTAACATTATCAGCTTCCTTTGCATCGTCTTTGGTTGGAGAGGACATACTTAAATCTTTCGAGTAATATTCTTTTGAGGTTTTTACAGGAAACTTCGTTGCATCATCTTGCATAATATCAGTCTTTATGAGCTTGTTGCTAGTAGGCAAATGTTCTTTAACCGCCATTTGTGTCTTGTTTCCACCTTTGTTTACTGGTCCTGAAGAATTTGCCTCTAAACATTGTAATGCATGATTTGTGGTGTTAATTGAACTTTTATTCTTCTCTCCGTCGAATTTCCCCATATTTACATTATAAATTCCCGATTCATTTGTATTTTGGATGATTTGTCCTTTATATATAGTTTTGTCATTAAGAGAAGAGGAATTTTCTTGAAATTTCAAGAAAGGCAGATCATTTGGTTTTTTAATTTCCATGTCGTTTATATCCTGTAACGGGTCCTTGTTCGGTTGTTGATACCGTTCATTATAACCTTTTAGCTTCTTTTTGTATCGCTTTCTTTTATAGTTTCTCCATGGTATTTCCTCTTCCTCTCTGTTCATTTCAAGTTTTGTTGGCATGGCAAACGTGGCTAAAGACCACGTATCATTGTCTGAATCTTCGAAGGAAAATTCTTCTATTCGGATTTCCTTGTCCTCTGAACTAGAGTCCAAGGAATCAGAGTACAAGTATTCATAATTTAGAACCATTTGAGACTTGCATTCTTCTTGATCGTTAATGCCTGAAACATCCGAAGGATCTTCCTTCACAGCTTGTTCCCTCATGTCTGCTTTGATATTCTCGGAAACATCATTAGTTTTTCTTGTTTGGCATGCCCTTGTTTGTATGTTTTGTGGCTTTGACAACCTTGGTGTAGTTTTCTGTCGTAAAAGATCAGTGTTTGCAGTTATTTTGTTTGAAATTATTGGCTTTTTATGTAAGGTTTTTGAATCTATCTGTAGACTACTGGTAAATGAAGGTATATTTGGTTTCAATTCAAGTATTGTTGAAGATTTTTCATCTGACATAATTTCATTTTGTCTTTTACAGGGTATAGTTGTTTTCAATTCAATCACTTCCTTTGACTTTGAATCTACGTTTTTGCTTCCGTGTTCAGCAAATTTATTTGGTTTAAATTCATTGCAGGTTGTAGTAGGATGAGAATGAATCATAGGGTTGTCAAAATTGCATTCTTTTTCTTCTATTTGGTTTCCAGTGTCGTTCTTCGGACTTGCATTTTGCATGGTGAGGTATTTAGTACTGAGAGAATGAAAATTTGGAGCCTTTTGGTTTGGTATACTTAATAATTCTTGGCTGAGAATATATGGGATTTCTATAGCCGCCTCGTTTGAATTTGAAGAATTATTCGTGGGTTTTCCAGAAAATCTGTTTTCAGACTCATTAATACCATTTAGATACGTATCATTTTCATTTTTGTCCTTACAACTGGTACTACATGTTTTATCATTTCTCTGCGTACATAGGTTACTGTTAGTATTTTGAACAACTAATCTGTGCTGAAAATCTGGCTTATTGTTTTGCAAGGAAGTGTTATTTTCACCTCTTGTCCCTATTGACGTCATGGACTGGGTATGTACATCTTCTAGGTCCGGCGTACCAGAGATAATCTCTCCAGTTTTACTATAAGTAATTTTACTGCAATTATCATGATCAGATACAATCTTATGTTCTATTCTAGTCCCATTTTCAGACAGATGTAATGCTCTTTGTGAGTGTTTGTTTCCCTCCATAGCATATCTCCTCGATACCTCTGATATTTCATCAGAGTTTTTGCCAGAATCTTGATTACTTGGACGTAATATTCGAATTCGATTTTGTAATAATTGATGTGATAAAAATAAATTGTCAGTAAAATGTCCTTGATTTTCACCGATTCCTGTTTTGTCCGCACTACTGGACTGAGTTTCACATACTGCAGTCGGCAGCATTGAACTTGACTCGATAATTGGAGATTTATCAAAAGGCTTCGCGCTTACGGATGTGAAACAGGATTGATTATTCGTTACTTTCTCAGAACGTGTCATTGTATTTGACTTATTGGTCTCATCTGTCTTCTCAGATATCTGTAAATCAACATATTTATCGTCCGGAGACTCCTCCGTGAGGATTGAATTTGTCGTATTGTCGATATGATTGATACATTGCATACCAAACGTTTTGTCATCCGTAAAAAAATTCTCTTCATTATCTCTTTGAACTGCGTCGTTTTCAAGACCTGTTTGACTTTCTGACTCCTTATTGACATGAAGATTGGAATTATTTATATTTATCTCGCTATTTACTCTTTCTATTTGCCCATAATTGATAGGAGACATTTCATTCTTTTTGTCACTACATGTGCTTCCAAGGGTGTTCGAAAAATGTGTATATTCTTGTGCTGTATTCTCTTGGGTTACACTGATCTTCCTAGACTCTGTCTCGTAGAAATCAGTTTTACTTGGGTCGTTATCAGAAATATGATTTAAAGAATTTGCAGAGAGTTGAGTTGGTGCTTTAGTTGCAGAATGTGATCGTGCCTGTGAGCAGTCGTTTACAACCTTGTTAGTTTCACACAACTGAATTTCAGCAGATGGTGTAGAAGGAAGGTGTTTGTCAGTTTTGTGCTTCTGTATTAAAGAGGGGGTATCAATTTCATGTGTAGTTTCGTTTATGCACCTGTTTTCTGTTCTGTTTGCACTTGGTTGTTGAATGTCAACACAAGTTTTTATATCAGATTTGCAAGTTTCTGATTCTATGGTAAATATGGTTTCAGATGTCATAGAAATATTAATGTCTATCATGATTTGCTTCTTGACGGATATTGTTGACTTATCAGCTTGCTGTTTAATATTGGAACCATCGAAAACATGTTGGGTGACGTCATCTGACGTGCTATGTTTCATCGTCTGCACATCCGAATCCACATCTTTTAGTGAATCTCTCACTTGTTTCTCTACATTCTTTTCAGCACTTTTTATCAACAATTTACTTGTGGAATCGGGTTTCTTAAAGCTGAAAAAAGAAATCAACTTTGCAACCATGCTGGTCTTTGTTTGGTTTCTTTGTAAAATACCGTTTCCTTCGTTTAATACTTCACATGGATTTGATAAGTTTTGGCATTGCTTAGCAAAAACCATTCGAGATTGACCCATAATACCGTCATTTTGCAGAAATGCGTTGTCAGCACAGCGATGATTTATGCAGTTGTTTTGCGGAAATACGCTGCCATTTTCTCCACTTTCTTGACCAATAGAAATCACCGATACATCACTGACCATGTCCTCATGACCTGTCGGAGAAAAGGACATGATCAGTTTACATATCTCTCCTGCACTTTGAAATGCATTAAATGGCACATACTTTTGTGGTCAAAGTACTCAAGGAAATTAGTACTTACTGTTAAACTAAAACGGGGTATATAGTTGGAAAGGAGATCTTCTGGTAAATCACTGTTAAAGGCTAATATGCAATGATGAGAAGGGAAGGAGGGTAGGATGTGGGTGGGTTCTCAATAGAATACCAATGTGATATAGATCGACGACCATGGTATAACGTCATCGACGGTTGGGTGTTTTAATACTAGGTAAGTTGGCCAATGGCATTCCTGTGTGCGGGAGAAAAGTTGGAGAAAAAGTTATTGAAAACAATACCTGAACAAGTTGGAATTTTATTTTAAAAACAAACAATATCACATATTATCAGTTGGCAAGGTTAAAAGATTATATATGTAGACACTGAAACAAATTCACAAAGTAGCACTTTACAGATTAAAGCACTTTTAGTTAACACTACAAATACATGATTCAAAATTGCCAAGGACAGCACTTAATTAAAAAAAAATTTGATCTGGCCCCGTGATCTTGACACAGTGTCGGATTTGCTTGTAAGTGGGTTTTTTTTACGTCAATCATATAAAATGAAAATTTATTACAAACAGACACTGAAAATTAAAATTAACAACATAAAAGGAAAACGAGTTTTAATAACCTTTCAAATTTTAATTTTTTTTAATATTAAAACTTTAAGATAATATAAAAATTATGATTCACGGAAGTCTAGAGCTTCTTCGTGATCCTGGGGCCAGGTGTGAGAGAAGTCTGAACTTTGACAAATGAATAAGGCAAGAAGACAAACAATTATATAATAAAACAAAATGATAAACCACGAAATTCTGCGCAGTCTTAGACGCAGGGAAATATGAGAAAATTTACGAAACATATTTTGAATAGTATCCATCATTAATTATTTAAAGTTAATGTTTTTTTTTTTATTTGTAGTATCGAGCCATCATCTTTTAGTTTTAGCGCCCTTCTTTTTCCTTTTGGTGTGCCCTTTTGATGCTTGTTTTCTAGTACTATTCAACATTGATTCCTCGTTGCGCAATAAGCTCAGTTGACTTCCGTTAAGATCATTCAAGGGAGGCAAGATGCTCTTCTTAGCATCCAAAGGTACAGGGATTTCCACTGCATCATGCTTATTAATGTAATTAGGATGCAGTGTACTTGGGGTAAGGATCAGATTTGTACGACTGTCAGAAAGCAAAGTGCTATTGGAGCGTTCGCGCTTCATTGAATTGAATCCCTGGGGTTTTCCGCTGTCCATGTGATGGGAAAGAAATGTCGGCATACCTGTGCTGGTTGGTGGAAGTCCTTTCCTTGGTTCTACTTTCTCTTTCTTACATTTGGCCCTCCAACAGAAGTAGCCGATGAGGAGTCCCGCTATTGTAAGGACCACTAAAGCGGCTAGTACTCCAGCTACTATGGCTGCCGTGGCAACGGTCGATGTTGTTGTTGAGGGGACTGTTAAAATAAAAGATTTTAAATACTCTGAAAATGATTTTTTTTCCTGCTTATATAGTGTAATAGACCAAAATGTCATCATATTTCTGTGCCTTAGTGCAATTAACCAAAGTGTATTCTTAAAGATCTGAAGAAGGCAATACATATGCTCAATATCAAAGACTGGCTTTTCGAGGAACGAAGTAAGCCTGCGCCCCGCCAAACTACTAGTATTCAATTAAGATGGTTGGAAAAAATTATGATGACAGAGATTTAAGTAACAAGTCCGTGATTGTGGTATTTTCGGAACATTTTGGTCTTGCAATTTACATTCTAAACATCTCAGAATCATATCTTTTGCAAAAATTCGGATTTAGATCCGGAGCAGACACAAAAACACAGAGATTTGTTGTTTTCATTCACTGAAATTTTCAATCGGTTTATAAATGCTTCGAATAATAAATAAGAGAAATCACTGCGTTTATATGGAAGGGGGAAGCGAATTTTCGCACAAAAAAAATGCTAACCGTTGGGAAAGAACAAGGTAACTTAGCACCAAAATCGGTCCAGTACCCAGGTCAAACAGATTATGGGTATCAGGCACTTATACAAAAAATTATCTTTTATTAATTTTAAATCTGAAGTTGAAAATAATTATATGACAAATTATAATTTGTCATGTAAGCTTTTCAACTGCAGATTGAAAATCAATAAACGACAATAGATACATGTAAATGAATAGAAACGAAAAAGATTGATATTAACTTTGAAATACGTGAAGTTTTTAAGCAAAATGATTGAAAATTAAGAAGAAAATTAATGTGACAGTAGAGGTAACGATAATTTAAAATCAAATTCTTAGTGTTTGTATGCATTCTAATATGACATTTTATATGCAAGATGCAACCTACGTCAATATGAAAGTTTTTTTTTTTTTTTTAAATATGCAACTTATTTCCAAATACAACTTGCGTCAACATGTGGCGTTATGCAGTAAAAATATTTCATAATTTTAGAAAAAAATTAAAATGCACCAATGGCTATTAATGTTGCTAAAACAGGTCAACCATCACTTAATGAAATTACATGTACAGTGTAATTACTATATGCATTATATGAAAAACTGGAGTCTAATTCACTCATAAGTCATGATATTAACGAAACAAAACAAAACTTTAAGTACTGAATACATGTATATATATATTATATATATAAAACGAACTCTTCAACCATAAAACAAAGTCTGAAGGGATGTTTAACTATCAATGCAATATCATCTGCATGCTGATATGTACAATGTATGTTGTATGCTGACATACTTTTCTAACATGTCAATGTTACTTTCATGGCGACATATTTTAGTACTTGTACTTATAGCAAGTTCACATAAAATAAAAATGGCAGAATATCAACATAAACAAGCGTCAAGTTCACTAAATATCTTTGGATTATCACAATTATTTTGTATTAACAAAATTAAAAGAGTAAGTGTAAGTAGGTTTTCACATCTGGACACAATTTGCCATTCTCAAAGGAATTTATTTTGATTTCAAAATACATTACATCATGCATGTTGACAGATGGTTTTCTTGCAAATCAACAGAAAGGGAACTTTTATGTACCCTCTATAATTGCTTGTTGAGTCTTCTTTTCTAAGGATATGGGACGGTGAACAAGGCGTGCAGAATGCCTATAGCTTCAGATGTATAAAAAATCATATTCAGTTTGTGAATATCGTATTTAGAGTAAAGTTATCATTATTATTTAAATTTATGAAATTATGATAAATAAAACTTTTCTGAAAATTTTCTCGACAAAAATTATTCTGTTATTTAAAAATAATGTGGTATTCGTGGGGTTCGAAGCATAGCAATAAAAATCCCGAGTTTCATTTTCCTTTGAGACTATAACGCTAACCACTAGGCTACACAACTTCTGATGAATACTGGCATTTAAATCATGTTTGTGATATGACCCTTGACTAAATGGACTTCAGGTATTTCTCGGAAAGATGCAAATGTTGTGTTATAAAAGTGTATTTTTAAGGTAAAGTAGGTCTTTGCTCCATTTTTTGGTTAACCAAAAAAATATATTTACACAAACTTTGAGGATAAACTTTCCAAAAAAATGGTGCGAAGACCCACTCATATCGAAAAATTGTGTTATATAGTATGAGAAAATGATCCTTTTTGCCCTCTTGAGTGTGTATGTGCTATTTTATAGGCAAATAATTTTAATCTTTGTGAGATTTTTGCAAATTATGGAGATCTTACAGAAAGTATACTTTAATGTTAGACGAAAGATCAAAGAAAATTTTGTTATAATTGAGATTTAATTTTTCGGCTTCATGTTTGTCGCACTACAGACATTTCGCTCGCCTTGTTGACCCATCTTCTTGTATCGATATATTCATTATGCTAAGAAATTTTCTACAACCGTTGAATTAAGCGATCCAAAGTAACTTGTTTTTTTTCAAATTAGGTAATTCTAACAGAATATCTAGGAATACGATGAATAAAAAAAAGATATTCTAAGAATTCCTTTTCGTGCACAGTAAACACTTTGGCAGAAACAAGCTACGAGCCACAAAATCATTTTTTTTTAAACTTTAATATCACTTTGTTGCCTACATTTTGCCATGATATTGTTGTATCAAATCACAATTAAAATTTCATACTAACTTATTAGGTAATGGAATATTCTTAATGACTTAACTGGAAACAATATGGGTTTTTTTCCCCTTTAACACGAAAAACTTCTCTGTTTACGTCCGTCTGTAAGAAATGGACTTCTGAATCAGCGGACTTATTTATTATAAGTAAACTTGTAACAAGGGATACGTGTAATTTTTAATCAATAGTTTTCTACGAACGAGATACTGTAATTAAAAGTGACACCCTTCATATGTTTCTACATACAAGTTACATTTCCACAGAACAAAGACCCTCGTACATGTACTACTCTGATTACATTACCGGTCGTTTACCGCTGTTTGTCTTTAGAATAACTGTGGTACTTACCGCAAGTGACTGAAATGAAAAAGAAACAAATACTTTAATGATGTTTATACATTTCTTAAAGCATTAATAAAACTATAAAATACCGTTTTTTGGAAAATATTGGCACAGACTAAACAGCAACATTGATTAAAGATGAAATATTTAAAATATATTCGTGATTTTTTTGAAAGAAAGAAATATATTTTGAATAAGTGATATTCAATGGCGATATTTTCATTTTTTTATCTCGTTGTCACGATTTCAGACTGACGAGGGGTCGGTCCTTACCGGAAGCTGTCATGTTGATTGTCGCCCCTGGGGAGTCGACCGATGTCGTGGTCTGGGTACTGAGACAGTCCTGGGGATGCTGTGTCCCAATCACTCGATCTCCAGATTGCTCGAACATCTGAAACCATGTGTTTTGTTTAATGTCGCAGTATTTCACTTTTTAATTTTGGCGAACAATGGAAAAATATCAATTTTCTTTTTTCATCCACAAAATTAATAAATCTGGTGTTCATCGGAATTCCAATATTATGATAATAATTTTCATCATTGTTGGAATAAAAAAAACCTCATCTAGCTTTCTGAATATTATAATAGCGCACCTCTAGTAGACTTGAAATCAGCACATAACGAAATTAATTTAATAAATTTAATTTAAGCATTTTCTAACTTTTACGAGGTAAGCAATGAATATGATATCAAACCAGATTTGAGAGTTTACTTACAAAACACGTAAATCTGTAGTAGGTGGATTCGTCTGTGGTGGTGTCCAGATTATACACATGTACTCTCTCGGCAGACCCAACAGTGGAGCTGTGTATGCATTGCACGTTACCATCCGCTGTAAGTGGACATTGTCAAAGAAACATGTAATTACATGAGGGTAAATGACATAAATGGGTTTAGATCACGAAAATTATTGAATAATGCTTGGAAAGAATAATTTATATGTTAACTTATGTAATAAAAAAGGATTTGGGGTTTATATAAAAATATGCAATTTACGACAGGAGAAAAGGAAACAAAACGTGGATATTTATTTACTTAGGACAGCTATATTAGTCTTAGAGTCATTGTAAGTTAAATGTGCTTTAAATAATAATTCATACTGAATATGTATGTTTACTGGTACATGTAACGATCCCCTTATACATGTTAAACTAATGTCCAGATAGCTGTATCTCACTTCCATTCTCAATGATCGTGTAATGTAGGGTAGTGGTAATAAATACGGTTTTATGCAATAAGCATTATATTATATAAATACTGCATATATAGTTGAGTGTAACGTTCAATGTTACACTCAACTACATGCAGTATTTATTATATTATACCAAATGTTTTATAGTTTGTACAAATACATATTACAGTGAACCTTGCGCGCATCAATTCTGCAGTCAATATTTTTTGGAATAACACCCGTCGTCAAGCAATGTTGACTGTTGCTACGCTGGAGGGCGTGGCTTCATTATTCAGCGGGTAATAGTGTTTTATAACAAATGTTTCTCGACGAATCAGATTCAACTAATTTACATGAAAGTATAATATAATAAAAAATACCATTTTTCATATCACATCTTGTATCATCCCTCGACCAATATCAGCCGTTGATACAGGATATGATATGGAAAAGGGTATGTATTATTTTTTATATATAATATTTGAAGCAGTTGTATCATAATTATATACATGTAATCATACACTGTAATATCCATATATGTATTATTCTCTCTCTCTCTTTTTTTCTCTCTCTCCTTTAATTCTGGCTGCTGCTTACCTCAGATTAATCATCTGATCCCAAGGGGTAGGATTGGGCCACTATCATGTTGTAAATTTTGAATTTACTAGGGAGAGGTAAATGCAAAATTTACAACATGATAACTTTTGCATTTACCTCCCTCTAGTAAATTCAAAATTTACATTATGATATCACGATAGGGGATTAAAGTATGTATGATGAAATCTTGAAATTTTATTAGTCAGAATATTATCCAAGCATCTTCAGGTCTGCAGATTCTAGTTTGTTTAAATTATAGGGTTAGGGTGGAGTCACAATCTGATCAGAGTTTTACTTTGGGATATTGAAAATTTCAGCGCTGAAAAAGTAGCACCTCATCAGTCTAAAAGTGATATTCAAGTCAGTCTGTAGTAAACGTAGGGTTTGGATTCAAAGATATTGCTTAGAGTACTAGCTAGAATATTAATAAAATACTTTAAAGAAAATATTTTTCTAATGAAGTATTTGTTTTTATAGAAATATAGGGAATAATAATGAACAGTCCTTAAAGCTATATGTGGCGTATCTGAGCTAAAATGTAAAAATACGAGATTGAGTGTAGATAAACATGATATATGTTATTTACGTTCAAAGTAAAATTTTCACCGATATTGAACTTGAATAACTTCATGTTTCTATAGTTAAATTGACTTTAAACTGTGTCTGTTATTTAAATGCGGAGTCGGTAAATAAATCGGTTATTGTTTTAAATTTCTAATATCTTTGAAATGTGATTGATTTAAATTGTGTAATTTACAGGAAAGTCCTATCTTTATATAAAGTAATAAAACAAATAGAAAGATCTTTTTAATTTTAGTTAGTCTGAACTTATAAAAAATACGCCATATATGACTTTAACTTACACATTTTCAATTCAATAAATATTAACTTCAGTAACGTGTAAAACAATATAGTTAATATTAAGATTTCAAAAACATGACCTCCCTGTCAAGAAATGTTTGCGAGCGAGTGATCAAACCGATTAAACGGGTATTTGATGGGATTAACGATGATTTAGTGTAGCTTTTAGTAAATCGATATTTCTCAATGCGTAACACGAGTTATTGCGACATCTCTGATTTATTTTTTTAGAGCTCTCGATCTAGTGCCTATGGCACTGTTGGGTGAATTTCTAGGTATTCTTCAATATGATGTTCTTAGTGAGTTATCCAATGCAAGTATCATTAAGGAAAGTTCTATTTGTAAATGAAAAATGGAATAGGTTCTAACAAGTTCTCGTAAAGTATATTTTGACGTCTATTTTAGATTCGATAGCACATTTTTAATTAAAATTTCATTTGAAAAAAAATGACAGAGAACATTTATGAATTCCCTGCATGCTTTTAATATCGCTTTAAGGTTCATTGACCCTCCGACAAGAGAGATAACTCTCATTGGGATAAAATTCTATTATATATATTGTCAAGATAAAAGGCCCGTTACTGTTAAATTTTTCTCTCCAAAGGATGCAAAAAGGTATGTTTTATCAGTAAAATTTAATTTTCTTTAGGAAAATAATCAGAGGATAAAGCAAAATTTTATATGAGTGAACAGCTGGTTGATGAACCTTAAAAATGACCTCTTTGTGTTGCCGACAGCAACTGTATTTACAGTAATTACATATATTTTGGATATAAACTTTCATGAAACGGCATTATAGTTAGGGGCTTCGTATATCAATCATCATCCATTGAAGATAATGAAAAACTATTGGATATCAGAAATTCAAATATACTAGTAGAGGTCTTCTTTGAAGTATAAATAGCAGTTATGAGAGAGAGAGAGAGAGAGAGAGAGAGAGAGGTGTACATGTTATCCAATGATTCACTAGTTACTGAATTTATTTTTAGAAATCTTGTTTAAAGATGATACATTTACCTGAATAGGCCTGTTCTGTTGAACAGGCAGTGTAATTAAAGGAAAGAGTGTCAAGATTGGTTCCGCTGCAGGCATCTAGAGAACCTGTGTCGTTCACACATGAAGTCTCATTGAAAGTAAACACGAATGATCCCAGGAGAATATCCGGACATTGCATACTGACGTCAGACAAAGATCCTGGAAACGGCACCAAAACCATCAATGTGGTACAAAATAACAAGTGCATTTCGATAAAATTTTGGGGGCAGTGTTGTAAAGAAAACCTAGTAAGTTACACATATTATTTATAATCTTACCATTTTTTACCAGTAGGTGAAACTCCGTGTTGGCTGAGTTGTCACACGCCACTGAATCGGTCACGGTTGTTGAAGTGGTGATATACTTTACCCTCTGATAGTTAGCATCAGCAAGTTTGCCTGTGAGCGAAATTTAAATATTTTGCGATATAGTGCTAAAATATACTGACTTATTTGTATATAAAATTTTACATAGTTTAGGATATGAATTCTACTAACTTGTGTAGATGTTCATTTGATAGAGGCCGGTTTTCAGTTCGGTTAACTCCATACATATCACAGCCACTGCATAGCTGCTGAACAATGGGAAAGTCTCTGACCTAAGCATAAAAATGTCATTGTTCAGATTGTTAGGAAATGTTCATTTTCGTGTGGATATTATTTTGACATAAACAGATTTATTTAAAGAAAGGAGCCCTGAAATTAAAGGACACCAAAGAACAGATCAGACCACAATTCACAGAAAAAAGAAAATTTAGCAAACGCATATCACAAAGATTAATGGTATAAATAGATTCTGATACTTAAAAAATATTTTAAAAAACATTAATTTGACTACATGACGTACATACAAATTACAGAAAAGTTTTATTCCGTTATGACATAACCCTAACCTCAGAAGATACTTAGTCCCTGTTAACTCATAACATTCGAAAATGAGGTTCCCTCCTGTGGCCTCTACGGGGTATTCGACATGGGTGGAGTTAAAGGTTAGGTCTCCATTATGGCTACTAGTCCAAAGACCATCCAGCGATTCAGGAAACGTACACGTTCCATCTAGAAAAATAGACATGCTTTAATGTCGTTTTGAATGCTGAATATGTGAAATTTGCATTTCTGAGCGGACAAAAAAGAAATCAAGTTCTGTTTTGTGGAATCATTAATATTTTTGTGATTATATGTTTTATGTGCATTCCTATGGTTAAAAATGACTCAGGATTGCATTAGGAAAAAAATCGGGGAAATGTTTCCATAATTTGTACTCTTGAATATAGAGTGCATATGTACTGAGACACACAGAAATAAATAAGATTTTCTTATATCGGTTATTTTGTAATGAACCAACGGGTGACGGTAAACAAAACAAAAAGTTACGATGTATTAGATCACAATGACACGGCCCTTCATATAAGTACATAAGAATATAATAATGTCTTATTCTATACTGCAGTGGGAGGGGGTTAAATGGGCTCATATTCCCCCATCTATCCCTATCTTTTCAAGCCATAAAATGCCCCAAAACTTTTGTGTGGTAAAAAATTGACAAATTTATAATAAACGATGCATATTGAAACAATCTGAGCACAAGATACAGGTCCGTAGGAAGCAATTACAATGTACATGGGGTGGGGGGTGGGGTGGGGTGGCAAAGTCAAACATTTTCAATTTGGGTGGGTGCTACCAAGCAAAAATTCACTCATGCATCAAGCGTAATTATTGAGGGGGCACATCAGTAAAAGTAGCTATGGCCATGAGATACCTTTAATTCTTCCTTCTTCTTTGCTTGTCAACATATAACTTGCCTCTAATTCCATCGCAAATATCCTGAATCCGCCCCTGATTTTATTTTTGATGTTGCAAGCTAATCCATCGTGTACAATACGATGATTATTTTTTGATGAGAAAAAAAAGATCAGGATTTCATACTTAGGGAATGAGATGTTTAAAATTCTTCTGTTTTAATGAATTTGGACGCATTTTACTTACCAACCCCCTTAATCTGTTCTAAATTTACAATGTGGGTAATCACAATGCATGACAAAAGCAATATACGACGACAGGTCATGGAATGATTATTAGCAAAAAGAATAGAAAAAAAAAAATTCAGAGACAAATCCTACATTTATACGTAGACTTTCAAGGGTGTTCCTTGTGATAATTATTTTTCCATTTTCAGTATAATAACTTATCCCCCCCCCCCCGTGATTTTTTTTTCTTTTGATTTTTTTTTTTTACTAAGCCTCCCTATTCCTCAATGGAAATCCTGAATACGCCCTTATTTCGTCAAGTTCCTAATGTCCCTTTAACATATTTTCAACCCCCCACCCCCGTAACATTCTGTTTAGTATACTTAAATTTGCAGGATATTTGAAATATAACAGAGGGGGGATGAAATATAAAAAAGGAGATAAACTAAACATTTTGTGGGGGTGATGGTTGAAAACTTTTGCGCAGCTACGAAAATACCGACTAAAACAGTGTATTCAATTGCCTTTATATATATAAAAGCTATTTGAAGATCTGGCAGCTACATGTAACTTCAAGTCACCGTCTACTTGTACATACACTTTGTTTGTCATTTCTGTACTTACCTGTTAAACTTATAATAGAACAAATCCCTAGAAATAAGAATATCATGTTTGATTCCGCCACAATACAGACATATATCCCAGCATATCATCCATTCTAAAATCCCCCTGTATTACATTTTCTCTCTTGATGATGCTAATCGAAAACAAATTGCGTTAAAAACTTTTACATTTTTCCCAACCCTATCCTGATTTTTTGTCTTAAGCATGCGGTAACCAAGATTAGCAAGGATCATATTCATTACTGATTTTTTTTTTATAAGACCAAGCCAAAAATCTGGATCAACAGTTTGGTCGGTGTATTTTAGCCAAAAGATTTAATTTACGGTTTTTAAATATCTTTTCTTGTTAATGCTTTAAAAGGGATTATCAACAGTCCGTCACAGTACAAGTATCTTAAGCTTCCTGGTCTTAACATTATAAACATGAATGGTGGATTATAAACTTCATTTATTTTTAATGACAGTGTATATTATAGAAATCTTGACCGTCGTATTTTGTATAAATTATTTGAAAAAAAAAAACGAAGTAAAAGTAGAACAATCAACAATATGAGTAATTGTTATTTATGCCGAATCAGAACTATCTATCTCTTTTTTCATATTTGATAAATGTCTATACATGTTGTGGAGATGGGAAAGTAAGAATTTATCATTTATATCGGGTTCGATATGCACATATTATTCGCTTGCAGACATTTGGCGGGAAGATTCCGTGGAATCAGCTCGGAAAAGTAGCATCTCGGAAAATACTGATTTTGCGTAATCGATGAGAAGTTAATCATCCATATAGAAATTTCATTGTACAAGAAGTGTTATTGTTTGGTAAGATTAGATAAGTTTCTCTCCGAATCCATGAAAACGCTCACCTACAGTTTGTAAACACTGGGCCGTTAACATTTACGTCAGCACTATATAGGGTCCAGCACAATCTTGAATTAGCTATATAGCGTTATTAAGCTATTCAATATAGCTTGATAAAGCTAATTCTGTACAGTTTTTCATTATTAATTTTTTTTATAAGAAACTGACAGAAAGTTCAAGTATTTGTACTAGGTCTATGGCGTTGGACTATTAATAATGCAAACGAAATCAAACATCGTTTTAACATGAACACTTTTTGAGCAAAAGATGTGTTTGGTGACTGCATGTACTCCACCTTGTGTTTGGTGAGGCATGACTAAGTATGGTTACCTCATATTGTGCTGAATTGTTTCCAATCATTATCTTGTTAACCACAATTGACCTCCGTTATTATAATTTCATCCAAGAAGTAAACGTGTCGTGTCATGTGCGAAAATGTTGACCCCACCACCTCTACCATGAAATAGGTTTTTTTTCAAGTTTGGGAATGGAAATTAAGTGTTTTTTCCTGCTTGTCAGGAAATTTTCTGGATTTGATATGCTTGGGGGAAAGGAGTTTAATTTTTTTTTGTCAGGAAATTTCTGGGTAAGAAATTTTTTGACTGGGTGGACCCCCCCCCCCCCCCTTGAAAAAAAAATCCTGGATCCGTGCCTGTATGTGGTCACAAATCAATTTTATTGCTTATGTAGCCCTAAAATGTCTGTCAAGAAAATTTGATAAGTGTTTTTTTCATGTATTGTTTTCAGAAGAGCTCGAAGTTGAAAACTTTCACTGCACAAAAGTGCAACTATTTTAACATGCTGAAAAAATTGCTCATTTAAGAAAAAAGTAAGATAAAAAAGCTAAATGTAAGTAATTTAAGCTATATAGTTAAATCCAAGATTTTGCTGGACCTGTATGTATACAAAAAGAAAAAGGGAACCAACATCAGCCTGAATTTGCAAGCTGTTAATTTCGAATATATCCTTAGCTAGTAGCCAATGAAATAACAACTGGAATCATACTACAATAACTTTTTTTAAAATAAAAATTATTAAACAAATGCCACAGGTGGTTTACTGGAGTGTGAAAGTCAGTCAAAATATTGGGTCTCAATAGCTCAGTGGTTAGAGCACACAAATATAGTCATATTTATTACCCTAGAAAATTTATACAGTCTCCCAAAAATCTGCAAGAATTAGACTACTTTCAAACTGCCATGAAGAAGAGCCCACTCAAGTAAAAAGTACATGTATTCTAAATACAATAAAACCTATTGAAAATGCAAATTTCTTGAATAGGTTTTTTTCTTCTATTCAGTCAGATACAGTCAAACCTCGTTATCTTGAACATGGTGGGACCAAGAAAAAACTGAGAGATATCCGAGGATTCGAGATATCAGATGTAAAATACTTAAGAATAAGTGGTTGGGACTTCTAAATTACTTCGACATATCCATGGTGTTTGATATATCAGTGTTTGAGATACCAAAGTTCAACTGTATTTGCTGTTCTGAATTTGGCTTGTGTGATAAGTCATGGTAGGACAGTTCTAATGAAATACTAATTGTATTTTATTATTGTAAAGGACCAGAAATTTCATCATTGAAGAATTGTAAGAAAGAATCCATTTTTTGTTTCATTAGAACCCACATGATCCGTGAATGAATGCTCAGTAGACAATAGTTCACTTAATTTAGTAAGAAGAACTTTGGGAACAAATGATGTAAATGTATGGAAAAAAAAAGTTTTATGATTAAAAAAAAAAATTAACCAGCACTTGACAAATAAATGTAATAAATTCCAAGAATAATGAATGTAGGAAGTATTAGACAAAGGTCATAATCTGAAAGAATGTCAATATATGCTGAATTTTTTTTTTTTATTTTATGATTCATTGTCTTCCAGCAGAATTTCTAGACAAAGATTTACCAAGTATTTTTTTTTAAGTCTGACAAATAGTAAAATCTTTTTCTTTAACAGGCTTTAGTGTAAGCAGGCCTATTGCCCTATAACAAGGTTATGATGGTATATGTTATTGGATGCAAATGATAGTACTGTCCAACAATGAATTTCTTGGCAATAACAGAACAAGACATATATAAAACGAGATTGGTTTTATTTTGCAGATTCATGCGTTTACTTGATGTATATTGATTCGGTGTGCATTATGTAAGCCATGGCAACAGTTTTTGTGTGCAATCCTGACTCACAATATGAGATCACATCTGCATCAATTTCTTGATTAAAGGTTGCAACTTAAGTGGTAAGTTGCCATATTTTTTTAAACATGTATTTTAAGCATTTACATTAATTGAATATGATTTTTTAAGCGATGTACTGATTGAATACTAAAGAGTTGAAATTTCAAGGTTTTACTTTTTTATAGAAATAATTGACATTTTTGGTTGGTATTTCAATATAAGTTAAAATAATTAGTGTACATGTAATGAACCTAAGATAATAATAGTTAGATATTTCAAATTCATAGATGTAACTTCCATAGTTGCCAGTCGGTGGTAAAATTTTACCCAGACTGAAAGAATTTGACAAACAGGTTGATACTGAGCTTAGACAATTGAAAGTTTGTCTTTTTTTATGACCAGAAACTTAATATGAAATAAAAGCAATATTTGTATAAA